TCAAATAATTCAATAATCAACCAAAAACATTATCTATTCACTCAGAATAATCTTCAATCAATTGCAAATAGTTCTAAATAATTGTAAATGAATTCAAATATTCAATAGTTTCCAGTAATTCAATTATCAATTCGTTCTAATTCTTCGATCTCATCCTCACGATATGAAAGTGTTGTTTGTGACAGCATAACGGTCCCATAAGCTCGAGCAAGTAAGATTATAATAGTAATTCCTCATTCGTGGACTAGTGTCGAGAACAAAATCACCATCGGATGTGGATATATAAGCATCCCAGTTGATGAGATTTCCACTGTAGTTAGGATTCGATGTATGAATGAAATTCGCCCAATATAAGGTCATATTTATGGAGAGTTGTTGCTCCAATGCGGTAAAATTGTAATTGGGATATAGATAAGGAAGAAGGGATGGAAAAAGCATGGGAAGCTCGGCACCATGTGCCACGCCGAAGCAAGATGGTGCAACAGGTAGGAGATGATTATATGTATAAAAATAAGAGGGCAATCCATAATCAGAGAGTTTGGATGCAATACGTCTGGATCCACAATGCTCCCAAGAGTCACTGAATACTATGTTTAGATAGGTTAATGGATTATTATAGGCAGAAATAGGACCATAGATGGTAGGAATCTCACTGATGATAGTGGCATTGTATATTGTGTTGAAGAATGCTTGAACTTGTGTAGTATTGGCCGTTCCATTAAAAATTGGACACGTGAATAAGGATGTCTCGTTCGTATTAGATCCGATTAATATGGGAACTTTTTGAAAGTATCCTTTGATATAGTTATTTTCCATAGTATCGTTCAAAACGTACTCGTCGATAACTGGAGAGGCAGATGCTTCAAAGATACTTTTAGATGCTATGGTATTCTGAACCGTGAGAATTTGATCTACTGTTAAATTGCGCAGGCATAGCACTGTAGTACAATTCACTATGGCTCGTAAAACTTCGCCACTATTATTAATTGCCTTCTCTAGAGGGCTGGCGGCATTAGGCCATATACCGCCACTCTGTATAATGGCTCTTTGAAAGGTTCCATTAGTAACCAATGATGATGTGAGCAGAATGGTGACACTGATGCCGCCAGCACTTTCACCACCGATAGTAATTTGTCTCGGATTACCACCGAAGCCCTCAATATTTTTCCTTATCCAGTCCAATGCTATTATCTGATCTAATATGCCATAGTTACCGGTAGTGCTTTTATTATTAATGCCTGATTTTTCGTCAAACAATGCTTTGTCTGCTAGAAAACCAAGTAGACCAAGTCGGTAGTTGATCGTCACGACGACTACAGGAACGGAATTGTTAACGCTAGTGCTTACAAACGGAGCAGCATCGTATAGTATACCAGCCCCCGAAGTAAAACTACCTCCATGAATCCAGACATACACAGGCAAATTACTTCCATTTGCAGGAGTGTACACATTCAGGGTGAGACATGATTCGGTGAGTAGAACACCAAAATTATTTCTCTGAGGACAAGCGTTGGGAATATTTGCGTAGCTAGTGCCATTCGATGTAGCAAGAGCTTGAGGAGGCAACCATCTAAGGTTACCGATGGGTTGTTGTGCATAAGGTATCCCATACCAATGGTTGACATTTATGCCATTTACTGTTGTTTGACGGCCAATATAAACACCTTGTTGTGTTTGAGCTAGTGGTGAAGTATTGCTTGCTATGGTGACAGGAACAATCAATGACACCAACAGAATCAGTGCGCGAGCTTCTACTACGATCATGCACATTATTTACTCGTATGTTTTACATACTCCTAGATATAACACTGGTATAAATAGTGGTAGAGAACTGCGATAACACTTCACTTCTATCTTTGTTTCTCTGACTCAGAAGAAGAAGAAGAAACATCGAATAACTGACATCATCCATGCACTGTGATATGCAGTCTTTATCATTTTTGTCTTTCATGTAATAAATAAAATCTAAGAAAAAAGGCGAAGACTGTGTTAGAAATGAGTGACGTAGAAGCGTGAGTATTTTCGCCGTTATTCAACCATATGTAGTGATGAAATAAAAAGTAAAAATTTTTTAAATAGTATTACAGTAAAACCTCTCTATAGCGGACACCTTCTGGACTTTTCAAAAGTGTCCACTATATAGAGGTGTCCATTTTAAAGAGGTTGAGCTTTTTTCAGAAAAAAAGAAACTTTTTCAAAGAAACAAGTGTGCTTTTAGATATCTGAAGTTTCAATGACTAAGATAACTAACTAGATCACATTTTTATTTCTCTTTCATCTATTTTTTTATTTTGACAAAAAAAAACAATAATAACAAAAAAATATCAACAACTCATGAAATAATCTTTGATAGAACTTTGTTTAGCCGCTTTTGAGTTAAGATAAATGTCAGTTAATTGGGATTCCAGATCAGATATAAGACCGTGCAGTTGAGGTTGTTCAGTAGATGCAAAGAGATGGAGCTTTCTCATCATTTCCAATACTTCAGACAAATTAGGTGGTTTTTCTACTACAGATATTTCTTCTTCGTTACCTTCTTCTTCTTGAGAAACTTCGGCCAGACCTTGTAGATGTCCGTCGTCATCCCATTCATTAAAAGCAGGAATATATAAATCAATGTCGATAAATTCGGCAGCTGTTAAATGCTGACCGCCAATTTGAACATGACCTAAGAAAGAATCGAGCTGTTGTACACAATCATTAACATTGTTTGAGTGCAGGTCAGCTTTGGTGATAGTATCCATATTGATTATTGATGAAGTAGATGTAACAGAAGGATGAGCGAAACCAGCAGCTCGAAATCCAATTTGAATTGTAATTTCAGTTACATTTTTCCATGATAAATCGATCCATTTAATTGCATCTAACACAGAAATTGATATTTGATCAACAGTTCGAGCAAGAGTACATTGAGCAATAATATGTTTAACTAGTTTTTGACGATAATGGCACTTAAACGACTTAATAACACCTTGATCCAGTGGTTGACATTTCGAAGTAGTATTTGGAGGGAAAAAGACAAGCTTGATATTCGATAAGCCATTATTGACTACATGACAAGGAGCGTTGTCGAGGAATAAAAGAATCTTGCGATTGGTTTTTATCATTTGAGCATTAATGGTAATAAGCCAGTCGGTGAAAACGTTGGAGGTCATCCATGAGGTGCGATTTGCAACCCAAGTGACAGGTAGTTTAGATGCAGCAATATTCTTAAAACATCGAGGACGTTGGCTTCTGCCTGAAACCGAATAAAAAATCCTATGAGTTTACGATTAATCAATGAATAAGCTCTTACCAATTACAACTGGCTTCAGCTTTTCAGTGCCAGTCCAGTTTGAGCAAAGCAAAACAGTAAGTCTTTCTTTGCTTTTCTTACCACCTTTACATTCTTCTTTTGATAAAACCAATGAGCGATCAGGTGTTGCACGATAAAATAATGCAGTTTCATCTGCATTGAAGATATCTTTTGCATTAAATCCATCGAGTATTGTTGAAAGTCTATTTGTCCATTCTTCAATGGTAGAATTGTCGATGGAAGCGCTTTCGCCGGAAATTGTTCGAAATGAGATAGCATGACGAATACGAAATTTTTCTAACCAACCATTCGAAGCTTTGAATGTATTTGATGAATATCCTAATTGTTCAGCGACTTGTTTTGCTTTTTCTTGCAGAATTGGTCCGGAAATAGGAATTTGTTTGGCACGTTGTAGAGTAAACCATTCGAAGACAATTTGATCGATTGTTTGTCCATTATCGTCTTTGCGTTTACGCTTGATGCCTTTATTGCAGTTGGAGGTATAATCAGATAGAAATTCTTCCCGTCGCTGGAGAATGTTGCCAGCACTACTTTTTGATATACCGTACTTGTCAGACAATTGTCGTACTGACAAACCATAACCATTTTGATTGTCTTTAATTAGTTCAACCTTTTTTTCCAAAGTTAACGATATTCGATTCGACATGATGCTCTTTTTTTCTTGTTGTGATTCAAAAATGAAATGAAACAATGTTATTATCATTCTCTTTATATTTATTTTTCGTCGATTCACAACAAGACAGACGATTTTTTTCTATATCTCTTACGTCTAATTGATAAACAATAGTCAACACACTATATTTGATTGTGATCATCATAGAATGTTCTGTTCATTTAAATAAGTGTCCACTATAGTGAGGTATTTTATGCAATTGGGACTGATAAATAGTGTCCATTAAAGAGAGGGGCCCACTTTAGGGAGGTGTCCATTATGCAGAGGTTCATTTCCAGCAAAAATTGTTTCGTCGGATCACAAACTGTCCGTTATAGAGAGTTGTCCACTATAGAGAAGTGTCCACTATGGGAGGTTTTACTGTATATTAATTAAGTCACAAACAATGATGACAACTATATTTTTCAAAATTATAACTTGATCAATTTTGCAAAAATAAACTCTAGAAAAGCTGACACCTATTATTCTCTATTGCTAAAGTCTGTAATGGGGGCTTTCGTTGCAAAGTGTCTGTGATGGAGGAAGAGAAGAGCTGCGAAACTTGAACTTATAACTTATACTCACTATTTTCTTCGAAAATATATGTGAGTTTCACAAAAAGACCAGACCGTATTAATGTTATGAGGTGTTGTACTTGAGATTTTGAAATATTGGCCTTTCCAATGAAGTCCATAAGGTTTTTTGAAAATAAAAAAGAGTTCATAGATGTATATCGATGAAAACTTAAATTGTTGTTTTCTTGATAGTGAATAAGATCTTAAAAATCGAAATTATCAGAGATTGAAGGTGGTTTAGTAATATTTTCTTTTGTTTCATTATTTGCATTGATAGTTGGCGTCAAAAAAAAAAGAACATCGTGTCTAATTATATGTTTTTCACCAAGTGGAGTTAAATTCATCGACACAAAACTACTTATAAGACATGGTTCAAATAGAATAATAAATAGAGTTTCATTTTGAACGAGCTTTGCGACGATAAATTTATTTTCTTTTTAGCATATTTGAGTGAAAGTTCAATTTTATTCATAGTATTCAAATTTAATGTAAAAATAGTATCTTAATAGATTTATCTACAAAAAATCAGAGTTCATGAATGGAAATTGTTCGAATAATTTTTTATTGGAAAAGTTCATGCATTGTCCAAGTTTGGACTAAAAGTTAAGCTAATGTCGAATTCAATAAAGAAATTTTAACTAGTTTGAATGATCAATACTGTTGAAGTATTCTAAATCACTATCGACAGATGGCAGATCTTTATACTTATAATACATCCTCTCATGTAGTTCAAATCTTGCTCATGTAAGTTAACTTTTCTAGCAATCATATCTTAATCTAACAAAATTTTAACTAAAAACTGATAAGAGTTGTATAGAAAAAACTCTTTTATTGACTATTAAGATTTTCAGTGATCATCAACTGAAGTTGCTTTGTATAAACTTCTTAAAAGAAAACAATCATCATCGTATGAAATAAGAGACGAAAAACATTCGATTTTACTCGCCTGTGTGAATTGACAGTCGATTAAATTTTCAATATTGATTGAAAATCGATTAACATTAAAAAGAAAAACGATAACCTTTCTTCATTCTTTTTTTAATCTTAGATAAGTTTGACAAATTTTAAGCTATTACTATTTTGATAATAACGTATGTGAAAAAAATTGCAAGAAAAATAAGATTAAAATCGATTCGAATTTCATTGAAAAATCAATTAAAACAATACGTTTTGACCGATTATAATCAAAATTTCGTCAAGTATTCTGATACATTAGAGTACTCACTAAAAAAAACTCTATTCAAACCAATGAAAACTGATTAAAAACCTTAACCTGGATCGTCGAAACAAATCCATTGAAGGCGATGCTTTTTGCACAATATTTGAATCAACGTATAATCGAAATTAATCAGAATAATTGAATTTGAATCTTTTCCATCATTTTTCGATTATCACAAGTTTTTTATCGATCATTAAACTATTAGAAATCCTTTTAATAGACTTTCAATGAGATTGTAAACGATTTTAATTTGGTTTATTGTGAAGTTTTTTATACCTAGATATATTATCTGATAATCTGTTTCAATCACATATATCGAAGGTACAAGTGATTTGTTGGAGGTTTAAACACAAAAACTTCAATTTTACATTTTCTTTCGATTGCTTATATTACAAAAGCATAAAGCTATTGCAGAGATAGAGTTAGACAATTAAATTAGAGTTGTAAATTCTTTATAAATTCATATAGTGTCCCTAAATTTAAAAAATGACACCTATTCAACAAATATTATACTATCTGGATTTTACTCAAGAAAGTCATTTCTAATAGATTCAGCATGAAAAAGTCAAGTATAATGAATCATATATAAAGTCGCCCGAAATCAATTAGATTAGTAATTGTTTATTTAGATTTTATATGAAAAAAAATCAACTTTAATGAATTAAAAGAAAAACGAACTGAAATCAATAAAAGCATTCGCTTCGATCAAAAAACTCTATAATTACACGATTTTTTGTAGGTCTTTTATTATAAAAATCGACTTAAATCTGATTTTCGACAGTGTCTGTTATATAAACACTTCAGGATAATTTTTAAGTGCAAATCTTTATTATACAACATACAAAGAATTGATATTAAATCATTTTAAAAGATAGGACTTGATTCAAAACCTATTATAAATTAAATAATTTTGGTTTTGATTTAGATTAATAACCAATATATTTTCTAATCTATACAAACTAAAAATTTCATCTACAATCAATTGATTTGATGGTCTTAGTCTTTTGATAATGAGATATTATAATTCAATATTCTTCTCGCTACTGAAAGAAGATATAAGAAAAAGCAAAATTAGGCAAAGAAATTCGGCTAAATAAAAATCTAGTATTCTCAAATTTATAATTGATTCGAAATTTTCGTTTGATCTTCTTCTTTTTTTATTTCAATTTGGTTTTTCGACGCTTTATTTTTCTCGTTTATCATTAAAAAAAAGTAACGGAGATTGCTGATGAATGTTAATATTTTAATAAATAACACGAAACATATCAGCAAAATAACTATGGATTTCTTTAATTATTCTAATCAAAACACACTTATTTGTAACTTTGTTGTTATTTAATTTTTGACCTAGTTGATTGTTGCACAGCAAGAGTAGAGAGCAGTAGATTGTGCTTGTCTTTCTAGTTATTCCAAAATTTCAGATCACTATAATAAATAGGACTGTTTTTCCTTGTCTTTGATTAAATTTTCAATTCAAATATAAGATCCAATTTTGAATAATCTTTTTGAATTATTATCATTTAATCTAGAAAAAAAGGAGTACCAAAGATAGTATCAATTAATCTACGATAAAATCGAACGGTTCTTCGTCTTTTCTTCGAGAATAATATATATATATTTTTAATATTGGAAGATTTATTTCCAACTTTTTGTTACACGTTTTCATTTCTCATTTTTCATTCATTCTATTTTTTCTTGTACTTAAAAAAAAAATATCATGCAGAATCTTGATGAATGTTTATATTTTAATATTTACTTTTCTTTTATTACATATACAATGCGCACGTATTTATTATTCTATTGTTATTGAATTTTCGATTTAGTCGATTGTTAAAAAACAAGAGTTGAGATTAACATATTGAATTTGTCACGTTCATCAAGAGATAGATCGGTCTCTTTTCGATTGAATAATCTCGAATTTTTGTTTGACTTGAAAAAGAAATCGAGTAGTATAAAGTGTGCATCGAGCAAACAATTTGGTTCGATACAGATGCTATACTTCAGTGATTTCATCAGTCTCTCTTGTTTTTTCTTTTTCTTTCTTGTTTTGTTAGAGCAAAATCATGCCATGTTTTATCTCTTATTCTGTTACATGAGTAATTACTTGTGTTATAGATATATTTCTTCTTTTTTTCCCCATTTTTCCTTACCTGTATTCATGAGTATGAAATAATTGATCGTAGCAATATACCAGATAAATACAAACTGCGAGTGTCTAGTGAATTATTCATCATAGTCATGACATCTGACGTATAAGTACATGTTTTATGTTTTTTTTCCTTTTATTTTGTTACTCTGGACAGAATTGTCCGGAACGCCTACACTGTTTTTACTTTTAGTGCTAGCAGTGGAACAATGAGCTGTTTTCACTCCGAGACATCTTATTAGAAATTTGATATATTTTACTATCGTATAAACATTTAAAAACAAGAGATATTAACTGTAAACAAGTATTGATCTTTTAACTTTCCTAAAATACATTCCAGATAATCACGTGTAGTTCTATAGTTAGATTTGGAAAATCGAAAATCCAATTTTGTATAGTCGAACTCTAATTTGACAAGATCAGTTTCTTACGATATCAGTGATGCGTATTGATGTATCTACAAATATGTTTATATTCTCTTGTCCTGTTGAACTGCATTTGAAAAGGATGAATGGACATCTGAAATCTTTAATGTCACACGATGTAAAGAATATGACATGTAGATTCTTCATTCTTGTTTGTAGAGTCCACTGGGTCCGAATCGAAAAAAAAACTTTTTGGTGGATATAACAATATTTCACGAGTTTCTTTAAATTTTTATTTGTTTTGTTCTAAAAATCTTAATATATTTATGAAAAGGATGTGAGTATGGGTATGTGGGTGTGGATGAGTGTCAGGTGGGGGTGTGTTTATCGATCTTCTATCCTAATACACCCACACCCACCACACACCCAGAAAGAGATGTAATTCAAATGCATAAAGACTTAGGTCCAACAGCAATCAATTCCTGATATTCGAGTTGTCTACACGACTAACAAAAAGGTCGATTTTACGAGAGAGATACTTTCGTTACCTATTGAGCGCTCTCCTTGTTGTTTCGCCATACAGTGCAGATGACCTATATATTATTGCGAGATAAAAATGGCCAAATAGAACGAATACTCTTATCTATATTGATATAAGAACGAGAGAAAGTATTAGCTGGCAGGCAGAGTTGGTCGATATCAAGACATGCTTGATATAAACTATTTACATTAGGAAAGTGTAAGAATTTAAAAGAGAGCTTTTCAATTTTGGATCTGAAATGCAGCACATTCACGATGAAACAATTAGTAGCAACCTGTATCTGTGTATCCACAAGATAATGGATCGAATTCTATAAACTGATCAATAAAATATAGAACTTCCATAAACTCAGGACAGTATGGGTACTCGGGTTTTTTCGAGTATCTCTACTCTCATTCGAAAGACATAAAATACTTTGAAATTCAACTTAAATCAGTTCTAAACTGTTATAAATGATATGTAAATTTTTCTTTACTCAGAATCGTGTCATCATGACATTTGGCTTACGTAACATTATTGGTATTCATCGTCTTCACACCGGTCACAAAGACTATTCGGTGCTAAAAGCGTATACACATTGGTCTTGCTGGCAACGCAAAGCATTCGACTATATCATCTGGTGTCATTTGGCTCATGCACTCGAATTCAGTGTTGCTATAGTTTGTTGGCTCTGGCTCTTTCCACGAACATTCTCGGACGCCAATGAGTGGCGTTTCCAATGGGTATCTCGTGTTGTTCTCTTCAATTTAACTTGTGAATTTGTATTCTATTCCTTCTGGCATTGGATAACACATGCACGCACGAGTGTCTACGCACAAGGACCATTACATGAAAAGAAGTTTAATCCCAGCAACGCTTATGAAGACAAACAACATAATCATTTACAGCGAGAAATTTTCTTTAACACATTGGGTTGGTTACAATCATCGGCAATTCAATGTATCTTCATGTGGTTATGGGCCAGCGGTCGATTGCCGTACTATAGTGACTTTTGGTCTCGACCAGTGTTTTCAATGACCATTCTACTTGGTATTACTTATTGGCGTGAATTTCATTTCTATTGGGTTTGTAAGTTTGTATATCTTTGAATTATATGAAAGGGCATACTTCTAGGTCCATCGATTTATGCATCCATGGTGGTCTGTCCAAAATGGCTTGCGCGACGGCGATATTGGTGCGTTTTTATATCGACATGCACATAGTCTGCATCATTTAAGTCGTAATCCTGGTCCATGGGCTGGCTTATCAATGCATCCACTTGAACATTTCTTTTACTATTCATGTGCTTATTTTCCCCTTCTCTTCACTTGTCATCCGCTTCACTTTCTCTATGCTAAATTTCATGCCGACATTTCTCCAATCGGTGGTCACGATGGCCATGCAGATCCTGCAGGCGGTTCAGCATTTCATTATCTACACCATGCAATATTTGAATGTAATTATGGAACCGAATTGGTCGATTTCGATAGTCTGTTTGGTACATACCGTGAATTTGTCAGAAAACCAGCCAGAGCAGAGTTCAACCAAGAGAAAACACATGACAGTTGATGGTAATGCACTGCACCAGTCCTTTTTAAAGACACAGTAACATTTTTTTAATTGAACTAAACACTTGTGTTTTTTGCTTATCAACAACTAAAAGTTTCTCATTCAGAAATTCCATTTGAAGACATCAAATGGAATGAGAAAGATCATCCTGGGAATCATTGCACGAGAACCATGATCGCGTACAGCAAAGCATTACTCAATCTAGGGTCGCCGATTTGGCTGATATTTTTACAATAGATAGGGATATGTGAGGTAGGAACAACTTGCAACTTTCAATTCAAACGGATGTATCGTTCAAGAGATATTGATGTTACAAGAGTAGGCATTGCGGTCGTCTTTTCACTATCTCACAGCAATCACTACACAGTACAATTTTATGCCCTCGCCAACCTCAAAAGATTTAGCCGAAATATTTTTGATCACAAATACTTAGGAATCAGGCCTCTTGAGTGATAAGGGTGTGGGTGTGTGGGTGTGGGTGTCGGTTTGGGTGTGTGGGTGTGAGTGTCGGTTTGGGTGTGTGGGTGTGGGTGTTGATGTGAGTGATCATAAGATTGATATCCACACCCACACTCCAAACCCATACTCACCCACACCTCACATCCCACCTACATCTACACCCACACCTCACATCCCACCTACATCCACATCCACATCCACACACCCACACTCCACACCCACACCCGACGGCGAAAAATCGGCGGCTGACACCTCTACCCAAACCCCCACAATCCATGCTTTTACCTTTTGTTTTTTCTTCGAAGCCAACGACCTAGTATTTTTTTTCCTTTACATTATTTTCATGACTCCTTAGTAATTTCGATGCAATGAATGAGGTTATTGTTTCAATGTACAAAAAGAACACTTAACAATCGATTTCTAATAAATTATAATCAAATATATAGAAATTGCAGGGTGTGCTCTTGAACACTACCACCAGACATTTGAATACAATCATCATCGAAGACCATCTAAGACATTGAAATAAAATTACAAATATTAAAAACCACTCATCGTTAATGTAGCTAGAAACAAAATTCAGTATAATTGGTTAAAAGAAACATTAAATAGCGAAAGAATAATTTAAATAGCAAAACGGTATTTTTAAAAGTAAGTTTTTTGGGAAGTTATAGTCAGAGTGCGTTAGTGTTCTTTCCAACATAAGTAGTCGTTATTACCACCCCAGTTGGGTTCAAGTGGCTCAAAAAACTGAACGCATTGCATGCCGCTCACCAAGCCTTGGTAGGACCAGACAAATTCGACTGGTGAATTGCCTGGAACACAAAGCTGATTATCGCACCAATTCGCATCTAGAGGCTCACTAAGATGCATACATTTGCTACAGAGCAGGGCGAGATTGGGATTGTTGCCGCGCCATTTGTAAAAGGAGAGACCGATATTCTTATTGGTGCACCCATAATTGTCCTCATAGCCGCGTGCACTCGTTTCATCAATCAACACACAGTACCATCCATTGAGTGGACCCGATGAGCTAAAGCGAAGCTGCAGAGGCACGAAAGGACTGACAGAAGTTGCCGTAGCCATTCATACAGGTTGATTACGTTATTTTTAATAGTTTTGTATAGTTTGCTGTATTTATGCAATACATCGAAAAGTTCTTATTTTAACACAGTTGGATAGAGCATCGGTTGCTCTATCAAGACATATAATTTGCTTTTTACTTTCTCTAGCTCTATCCTAAAAAATTGATGAATCTCAAACAACTATGAAGAAAATTTTTTTAGGGTTCTTGGCATGATTTTTAATAGTTTTATTTTTCACATAGAGATTGCTCGTGCTATGCTTAATAGTATTCGCGA